AACATAATAATGTTGAATTTTTTTTATCAACACCCACAGATGTGTACAAAATACGGCGGTAATCATGGAACTTTCAATGTGACACATTCGAGGTGCCGTTCAATGAAAAGCGAGAACTAGATAACATGGAATTTTAAATGGGTCAGAAGTTTTGGTGTCCTTTTGCGACAGTCGTTCTAACATTTCTCCCATCTGTCTTACATTGTTATGCTATTCTACGTCTAAATAAGAGTCACTAAATTTCAGCTTGCTGCGTTTTTATCATAAACACGCCCGTTTAACTCACAACGAGTGAAAAATGTCCATCGGTAAAAATGTTGTGAGCAACTTCCGTTCCTCGTTGTGAGCACCCATCTATGACGAGTGACACGATAAACAAGGTGAGTTTTTCATAATTTTTGAAGATTACAGACCTTTATGTAAAAATATCGGAATGCAGTTAGCTAGCGATGTGTTTTCCGAGTATGCACATGTAAAGATATTGCCTGTTGGTGGACAATTTGATGGAAATACCGTGCGACGCAGTCACTCGGGGTAGCTGGAAAACTGGAGACAACTTTTCTTTGGACCTTATTTAACATTGAAAACGTCGATTCTGGTGACGTTTTGTGCATTGTAACATAAAACAGTTGCCCACAAGACTTCAGCGTAAATTATTATCTGAAAGTCTTCGTAGAAACGAAAATATACTCTTTTCTGCTTTAATCCTCGTTGTGAGCACCATAACCTCGTTGTGAGCAAGACAAGCTTAGTGCTTGTCTGGTTTTAATATGTAATTCAAATGGCAAGAATACAATTTTCAATCTACCAAAAGCAATCAAAACGTTTTTGTACAATAGTTTTTCTTTGCAATAGTTATTCTTTTTCTTTTTTTGAAAATTATTCTTCATATTCACAAGTCATCAGATTAACAGAAGAACTAATTCAGTGGAGGTAAATCAGGTATTTTATTTCGTATACTCTAGTGTGGCACGAGTGAACATCACGGGGTGTTTATGAATATTTCAACAATTTCACAGTCTGTGTGATACACACATACATGTGTTTAACCTGCGCTGAAGACTGACCAAGTTATGTAAAACAAGAACTATCACGGTAAGTTGACAATGCCCCTGAAGTGGTGCTTTGTCCTTTGATTTATGGACCAGATAGATTATTTGTTTTTTGGACAATGTGAAGGTAATTCAAAGTCAAGGTGAAATAAATATAGGTCAGTTTGGAAGGTCTTGTCCAAAGGGGCATTGTGACCAAATATGAATTATTTCCACTTACTTATAAAGAAGTTATGACCAATGTTAAAGTTTTTGGATGTTCTAGAAGGTCATTCACGTTACAAGGTAAAAAAAAATACAGATCAGTTTGAAGGTCTTGCCTAAAGGGGTGTTGTTTCAAAATATGTGTAGAGTCCGTATACTAATAAGGAAGTTATGACCAATTTTTAAGTTTATGGACAATTTGACCTTCAAAGTGAAGGTCATTCAGGGTACAAGAGAATATAGGATAGTTGAAAGGCCTTGTCCAAAGATGTGTTGTGCCTAAACATTATGCCAGGACATTATGGCCAATCTTAAATGTTTTGGACAATTTGACCTTCAAGGTAAAGGCCATTCAGGGGTCAAGGTTAAAAAATACAGGTCCGTAGGAAGGTGCTAAGGGATGTTGTGTTCAAATATGAATCAAATCCGTTTACTAATAAGGAAGTTATGGCCATTGTTAAAGTTTTCGGACAGATTGACGGACTGACAGACGGACAGTTCAAAACTAATATGCCTCCCTTTGGGGTATGCACAACGTCTTGCAAAGAAATGCTGCTGTGCAAAAACGTTTTAATTGCTGTGGTAGATTGAAAGTTATATTTTCACCATCTGAATTACATATTAAAACCATACACGCACTGCGCTTGTCTTGCTCACAACGAGGTTATGGTGCTCACAACGAGGATTAAAGCAAAAAAGGGTATATCTTCGTTTCTATGAAGACTTTCAGATAATAATTTACGCTGAAGACTTGTGGGCATCTGTTTTAGGTTAGAATGCACAAAACGTCACCAGAATCGACGTTTTCAATGTTAAATTAGGTCCAAAGAGAAGTTGTCTCCAGTTTTCCAGCTACCCCGAGTGACTGCGTCGCACGGTATTTCCATCAAATTGTCCACCAACAGGCAATATCTTTACATGTGCCTACTCGGAAAACACATCGCTAGCTAACTGCATTTCGATATTTTTACATAAATGTCTGTAATCTTCAAAAATTATGAAAAACTCACCTTGTTTATCGTGTCACACGTCAAAGATGGGTGCTCACAACGAGGAACGGAAGTTGCTCACAACATTTTTACCGATGGACATTTTTCACTCGTTATGAGTTAAACGGGCGTGATAAACCCCGTCATATCTGTGCGACAATTGCATTTTGCTGAGGACTGTCAGAAATTCCATTTTATAGTTTGAAATTTTAAGATTTTTTTCTCAGAATTTAAAGTTATTTTTGGTTGTTTTGAACTTCTTCCCCTACACAACTGTCCTCAATTTTTTTTAAAGATAATAAACTAGAAATTGAAATGGAGTTTAATATAAATTGAAAATCTTCTTTGCTTCATCATGTATAGTATAATTATAATTCATTAAGATGTACCTACAATTACATTGTATTTTCATATACATGTGCGAAATCATGGCAGGGTTATAAAATAAAAAGGCAGTTCAGAAATTTCACCTAATGATCACAAATGTTGAAAAATCCGACTTTACAATTTCTAATTTGACAATTTAAATGGACTTTTAAAATGCAGTATGATCTGACGTCGGACATCATAAACTATTTAATTTCTAAGTAAGGTTATCAGAATTTCCTTTTCACATTTTATTTTTAATGCTGAAATATTCGTGTGTGAATAAAAGAGTTATTCTTGCAATAATTCATATAAATAACTAAAACAAATTGTATAATAAAGCTTGACAAATACAATCGATTGCCGCCGATACCTGTGTTACACCATGGAAATTTTACAATTTTACCATAAAAAAAAAAAAAATTGCACTCTTTCAACGAACATATTCGTGAAAAACACTAATAATCATCAGTATCTTCATTATACCTCTTGTCACCCAAAAGCATGCAAGAATGGTATACCATACAGTCAAGGCAAGCGTTACCGCAGAATAATATCCGATGACAGTACATTCAAGGACTCTCTAGTTGATTTGAAAGACTTTTTTCTGAAACGTGAATACCCGAAAGAAGTAATTGACAATGCATTTGAGAAAATTAATTCTATGAAGTCAAAATGAGGCACTGCGACTCACATAAAGTAGCCAATCTAATTTTGTCATACCATTTGTTGTTACTTATAACCCTCATTCTTCCTAACATTGGTCACGTTTAAACAAAATTTGGGACTTACTAAAGTGTCAAAAAGTGAAACTGTAAAATATGTTTATTGAGACTTACAAACCTATTGTTTGCGTTTAAGAGACCCAAAAAATATCCGTGATCATATTGTGGCAATTCTAGCTTTTCAAAGCAAATGTCAATTCATTCATCTTCTCCTTGTAGCAGAAGTAGATGTTCTCATTGTAATCGAATTACTTCGGATGTATCTTTTGACAAGCAGTGTCACAGGCGAAAAATATACACTGAGAAACCCTACAAACTGTTCTACAAATAATGTTATTTATTTTTAATCTCCCTGTCAAAAATGCAATATGCAATATGTTGGCCAGGACATCTCAACCGGTTTTCACGTAGAATGAATAGTCATAAATTTGATATTACAAAGATTTCAAAAGATCCAGCGTTTTCAACTCTTGTTGCAACGCATTTTAATTCAATTGATCATTCATTTATGACTTTTTCATTTTTACCGTTTGAGATTGTCAGCGACACAATGGAGCGTCTATGTAGAGAAACCTACTGGATTCATAAGCTTAAGACGTTTTTCACCAAGCTGGATTAAATGCAAAATTATATACGACATTTAATTATTTCCGTAAGTTCTTTGCGTAGACATTCCATTATAAATGGTTATATACTTTTCCAATATAATATTTCATCTGTTTTTATGCATGTATACACGTTACGAACATTCACGTTGTTTCCTATTATTGTTTTTTATGTATTTTATATAGGAAATACTTGTATTTCATAATCCGTGAATGTTTATATACATATATATCGAAATCTTTATTAACTTTATTAATTTTTAATGAAATTTAATATAACATAACGTAACAATGTATGTTTCCCGCCATCTCGGACGGTGACGTCATGTGACGTCTCTTCCTGTTTATTCACGTCCTGTTTATTCACTGACGAAGAACATATTTGTTCGAAATCGATTTGAATATTAAAAAAAATAACTGAATGTACGCGTGTGGTTGTTCTTTTTGGATTCATATACAATTTTACCATGTCACCGCTTGCGTCATTTTCCAATATGGCCGCTTTCAATAATTGTCAACGATTTAAAAAGTTAAAGTGGAATATTTAGACTTGTGTTCGACTTTGAAGTATGATAACTTGGAACCTTGCATAAAAAACGGTTCTCTTTCAGGTAATGTAGACCGTTTCTTTGAAACTTTTTTAGTTTTCGCTCCCAACAACTTCTAATTGGGAAGCGTCCGTGCATAAAAATGCAGTTCGTGGTTGGACTTGGAAAAAGACAGCGCCCGTCCAAAATTATCTCGGTGTCTCTTTGACAAGTCTAATTAGTTGGACTATTTACCAAGAAACCGAAGAGGCCCTGCAAGGTACCACCCAAATAACAGTTAAAGGTTTACTTCTGAAATACACATAGGTGTCTAATCCAGGAGATTGCCTTTGCTTCTGAGCAAGCGCTGCCAAACATACATATCAATATCTTAAAACTTGCATTATTTTCTTATCCAAAAGTGATGCATCCGAAATCATCAACAGAGGCATTCAGATAGTAAACGAATTACATTCATTGTAAGTAAAGGTTTGTCAGCATTATATATTTAAGTTATCTAAATCTTACTTACTGTTACAAGTGAAAAAGAAAACCATTGTAAAATTTAGTCAATATTCGGAAAAATATTGCGCAATGTGTTGTTCTTGCTTCCCTATCCTTCCCTTCAGACGCTTAAAATTTCAATTGCATTGCACAATAAAACGTTTAGGCGACTAAGAATTCAAGGGAGCTAACTCGGGTATCAGGTGCTCGAAGGGAGGTGATTATTGCGTCCTTGGCGACGTTTACAAATGGCTGAAATGAAGAGTGCAGTTGAAGATTTAAAAGATGAGCGAGTTCCACAGTGTTTGTACTGGAATGTGGAACAAGTAGCCGACTGGATAGAAGATATAGGTTTTCCTGACTACAGAGTGAGATTTTAGCATTAAAAAGAGTTATAAATTCAACTAAGAATGTAATTTTTCTATCAATAATAATTGAGCCTGCAAAGATAATTGATTATTGAGGCTTTTAGACAAATGCATTCACTGTTAAGAAATACATTAATTATATTTGCTTGTTTTCCCCATTAATGTCAAACCCCTGTTTTTGGGAACAAGACATGCACTTAAAATCATGCCATTTGATTGCTGCTTGAGGGTGCCCATAACTACAAAATTGTAGTATCAGGATTTTAAAAAAAGGGCAAAGAGAATCTTATCACAGATGTCACGGTATAAAATTGTTCTCTTATAATTTGTCACAGATGTCACGGTATAAAATTGTTCTCTTATAATTTGTGGGGAACATATATGTAAATAGCCATGTATGACACAGTTGGCATAGTTTTCTGTGGGTCTCAGCTCTTGGTCCTGGTAAAAATTCACATTTATCTCACTCTCATGCATGTGATATTTGGTGTGTTTGATGCAGACTTATAGACATGAAATTTATTTACATGTAACTACTTGCTGACAACAAAGTTAAAGTGAGGGTTTTTGAAATGACAGCTGTTAAATTGAAGGCATCTGCCTTCTGGTACTGGTAAACTGCTTGACAGCTAACCCAGGATTGGTTAGGTGGCTTAACTGTGCTCTTGTGAAGTTACATGTAGTGTGGCTCACTGATGTGATCCTGAGGGAAAACTACAAACATCCACCCCATATTAAGATCTTGATATATAATATTGATACAATTTTTTAATGACAGCCCTATTGCCCGGGTTTCTGAATTTATAATGTCATTTATCACACCTGAGTGTGGGTTGTGGAATTTGAAAGAAAATCTCATGTCTGGTGGGCTTCAAGTCAGTATAACCTGTGGTTTAGGAGTGTCATTCTCTTTAACATTTCAGCTACATATTTTTAACACAATATTGTCTTAATTATTGTAACTATATTTGATAATCTATGCATATCATCAGTGATATGATTTTTTTTCAGCTATGTATTACAGAGAACATGATCAATGGTAGAAAGCTGATTCATTTAGAAGCCTCACATCTGCCCAACATTGGAATAACAGACTTTGA